AAAAAAAAAAGTGTTAACTCTCAATCATGAAATTATTTTCCTGCATGTACTATGTCCTAAATAAGATAAGGGAAAGAAATGCCTACACACCCAAACACTGTTGTTTTAAAAACAAAAACATGAATTTAGTTGGCTAAAATATTAAAAATTTTTATTTTCTTTGTTTTCATCAAAGCTAGAACTTTAAAGAGTAGAAATTTAAATAAAGTACAAATTAAGTAGCAAAGTATTATTGGTCTTCATGTGACATAACCCACATTGGTGTGTCATTAGCTTGCTCCCCGAAAGAATTACTCCCCATTGCAGGGTCAGGAAAGCCTCCTGATATTATTTCCATTGGTTACATGGAGTTCCTTACTTCCACGATTGCATGTTTAAGTGGAATTTAAGATGCTGTTCTGTGTTTTATTTTTCCCTTGTATTCTTGCCTCCAGTGTTTCAGAGAAAACATGAGTGTTTTTCTTTATTCTTTTGTTCCTCCTAACTGAGCTACAGGGGACCCCATTTGAACAAGCATGAAAAGAACTTTTTCCTGATAATAGAGGATACCCACTTCCCCTGTTCCCTCTTTGCCTTTAGATGCTCAGCTGGTAGGAGTTAATCCTAGTTATCCGTCAAGTTTAAGGAGGAATTTCCCTCCTTTCATTTTCATAAATAGTTACAAAAGAAGCAGCTCATTATATAAGTAGGTGCAGTCAAGTAATATCATTTGGGTTCTTTGGGGATGGATTATTCATCTCAGCATCTGCAGAGTCGTGTAGTATGCACAGGGTTGTAGGTGGGCCCCATTATATGCACCTCACTGCAGGCGTGAAGGGCATACAGAAGCAGAAGGTACGTGAAGTGATATTTTAAAAATACACAATAGAGAGCACACTATTTAAAAGTACACAAAATAATGCAAACTGAACTACAGCGGGTGACCTCACCGTCAGGTAGGTTGGTATGTTTTGGGGGCTGCTTTTAATGGAGAGGGCAAAAGAGACGAATGGAGTGATGGATACAAGGAATAACTTATCCTACTTAGGAGTCACTCTTGGTTGCTGCTGCTTCATTCCCTTTTTTCCTACCCCCATATTCAATTCATTGGTAAGTTGTGTCCATTTTGTCTACAAAATGCAGCTCAAGGCCTCCAGGTTTCTCCTGTTCATTGCTACCTTTCTGGTCTGAGCTGTTGTCATCTCCAGGTGAGATGGTAGCAGTTCACCTAACTGGTCTCTGCTCTGCTCTTGGTTCTCACAAGCCTGTCCTCTGCAAAGAAGCCAAAAAGAACTTTTGAAAATATATATCAAATCATGCAATTCCCAATTTAAAATTCTTTTTTGTTTTAAGCAGTTCAAACAATATGCATTTATCATTTCACAGGACAGTATCTGTGGGTCAGGGGTCCATGTATCACTTTGTTGGGTGCTCAGCTCAGAGTCTTCCAAGGCAGCAGTCAAGGTTTCCGCCAATGCTACATTGTTTTATGGAGCTCAGGGTCCTCTTCCAGCTCACATGGCTATTAGCAGAATTCAGTTTGTGTTTGTGGGGCTGAGGCTCCTGTTTTCTTGTGGCTGTCATTTGAGGCCTTTTCTCAGCTTCTAGAGTTCACCCACATTTCCTGGCATGTGACCCCTTCATAGGCTTTTCACAACATAGGCACCTTACTACTTCAAGGCCAGCAAAAAAATCTTCCCAATTTAAAATTCTGTAGTCGTTCCCCATGTTCTTAGTCTCCAAACAGAATTTATCATGGTGTGTACTATCTCCAACCTTGTCACATGTCACTGTCTCCTGCCATGGGCCCAAATACCAGTTCTTCAGAGAAGCACCGTCCCTGCCTCCTCTCTAAAATGACCTCCCTCAGTTGATTTTCTTCCATTTCCACATTTCTTCATTTAAAACCCTTACCTTGATTTTTAATTTCATCTTATTTTAAAAAATTATTATTATTGTTATTAGTTGTTGCTGTAGTAGTAATTGTTGTTCATTGACTGTCTCCCTAGCTAGTACGTTTGCTTCATGATGTCAGGGGCTTATCTGTCGTCTTCACAGGAATAACCTC